TATATCGATATACACCAAGTATAAAATAAAAAAAGGAAAAAAATTTAAAAAAAAAAAAAAAATTGTATCGATTTTACACTAGGGATTCCTTTATTTTTTATATACTAAAAAATAAGGGGTTGATGTAAAGGTTCAGATTTAACTATAGTCTAAGATTAAAATTTTAAAATCAAATTTTTTAAAAACATTAACATTTTTATTTAAAATATATATATCAAATATTAATCAGATAAAATATGGCAATTATAGTGTCGAACACCACTGGCGTGCTTTAGTAAACTTGGAAAAAAATTAATTAATAAAGTTTATTAAAATACAAAATATTTTAATAAATGCTTTGTTTATTTCAACAAAATTAAATAACTTAACATCTTAACGTAAAAAGTCTAAATATAAATACATAACAATTTATATATTAAAGTTTAGATATAAATAGTCTAGACATTAAGTTTATAAATAATTATTTATTAAGCATGATCTCATTTTGTAACTAGATCTTGCAAAATGAATAAATACGTTTCAGTTATCAGGGTAGAAACGTCTTTCATCTTTGCCTGCCGTCAAAATTTCCACACCAGTTTCAGTAACTAATAAAGTATGCTCAAATTGAGCACTTCGTTTACCATCTTCAGTAACTGCCGTCCAATTATCTGGCCAATGACGATCACGCCATGCACCTACAGATGAAACAATCGATTAGTTAAATTGAAGCACGCTACGTATAACGTGTAACAAAGGAACCAGAGGCAAACGAACCATAATTTATCATAGGTTCAATCGTAAAGACATGTCCAGGTTTCATTTTACCAACAGCTTTGTTCTCTAAAGTATCGAGTATATGAAATATTAAATGATGAACATAAAGAAGAAAAATAGAATACCACCAATGAAGCTTACTTGTATAGTGGGGAACATTTGGTGGACAGTGAAAAAGCCTAGAGAAAAAAGGTTAGTTCAGACTAATAAACATATGTGCAACAAAAGTTAGACAGCTGATATATATACCTATGAATACCATGACCACAATAAGTACGAACAACTGAACAATTATTAGCTTTTGCATTTTTCTCGATCACTGCACCAAGGTCACGGTATAAAAATCCGGGTTTCACTAAAATTTACAAAATATTAATAAATATACATCTTTGTCTGCAAAACAATTATGCGTACTCACCGCACTCAATAGCTTTATTCAAGCATTCTTTTGCTGTTTTTATCAGTTTCTGACTGTCCATATCTATGCAACCAACGGGATAAGTTTCATTGAGATCGCCATGAAATCCATCATGATACAAAGTAACGTCTAAATTGATGATGTCACCCTCCACCAGTTCACGACGATCGGGAATACCATGGCAAATGACTAACAGAATAACCGAGGTAACGTCAGCCGGTAACAGTAAAATTTTGAGATCAAACCGACGAATGTTTTAAATCATTCTTAATACCTTCATTCACTGATCTAAAATTAATAATATGCTATGTCAAATTGGGCAATAAGTTTGAACTAGTAATAAAATACGGATTTTTTTGAATTCGTGCATTTACGTGCAAACTGATTTTGGAAATTCGTAATAATTCAAAGGTGATGGATAGGAATCACGTTCTATAGCAGCTTCGTGTACGATTCTATCAATTTCATCGGTTGTTACTCCGGGCTTTATAGCAGCT